TGGACTTCCCAGGGAATCAGCCATCCCGAGGCTTCCTAGGAAAAAGGAGCCTTCTCCAGGCTCCTAGGGAGGTGCTGGTCCCCTGGGCGGCTCTTGGTTGAGGTTGGATAAGACATAAGGAGCCTACGTTGCGGCAAACAAGACGTAGGCTGCGCGGTGGGAACATAGGCCCGGTGAGGGCAGCGAGCGCCTGTCCCGGGGATAAGCACAGGCTGAAGGAGCGTTTCCAAACGCTCCCGGACCTGCCCGGCCTTTCCCGTGGCTCCGCATTCCTAAGGATTTTTTTGGGGGGGAGGTCCCAATTTATGTTTGCTATGGGAAATGTTCGTCTGCCATTACACCTGAAAATTGCACAAGCACGTTGTAGTTCATTTTCATATCCCGGTGAAAACTGCCTCGCAAAGTCTTGCAATTTGGCTAATTTTATAAGTAGCCGGGGGCAACCTTGATTTCTATTATATTAGTTCTATATCGCATTGGTACTATTATTATATGTTTTATAGTATTATGTGTATTCGCATGAATAAAAAGGGAGAAAAAAGTTTTTATTTAAACAACAACCACCTTTAAAAGAAAAGTTGACTACTAAAATATAGATTTTAAGTAAATGCTTTCTATCAGTTACATTTGTGAAATTTATCAGCGAGCTTGTCTTTCAAAAGAAGTTTTCATTCACACCTAATGTGGGAAATTAGATTAAGAACAGAAAACAAAGCTAGATTGTTTATACTGTCTGTAACAGAAAACTAGTGGGCCAAAGTCTGAGTTGGAGATGTGAAGAAAGAGAAAACCAACGGCATCTGTATTTTAACTTGAAAACCAACTAGGAAAAAAAAAAGGTGCTGATTGAGATTTGGCAAAAGAATAATAATCCTGTTGACTCGCCCACGGCTTTTATATATGTTCAGCAAATACAACCTTTTTAGTTATGGCAGATTCTGTCATCTATATTATCAGTTATTTTAAAACACGCTAAATAGTTTGTGGTTATGAGTACTATCTGCTGATCATGGAAGAGTCCTATTAAACTCAGGATGGATTTATAATCCTAAAATTGTTCAGAAAAATAGTTAGAATTCCTTTGTATGTATGCTTTTGATGAAAGCTTCTGAATTTGAACTGTAAAAAACTTTTTAATGATTTTAAATTGATGAAAATTAAGTATATTTTCCAACAAATTGTGGTCCATATTCACCAGCGGGAAAATCTGAAACAACAGGAAAAATGTTGTAATCTAGTTTTCTCTGTCTATACATCTTCAAGATATAATAGCAATGTAAGCCTGTTTGACATGAGATTTTTTTCTATCAAAAGTAGAATGGGGATCATTTTCTCTGACATGTAAAATGTCAATATAACACAATTTAAAAATAAGCAGTGATGTTATTTTGATTGAAAGACAAAAGAAGATACTGTGGGACCCGTAATTTTTATAGCAGGCTAATTGATAAAAATCATACAAACAAACAAAATGTGTTTGAACAATAGAGGAGGGACCTGTAATTTACATATGCACTTGTTTTGTATTTGTAAAGAGAAGATACAAGCACTGGTGTATTTCACGAATACTGCTGTTGCCAGCAGAAGAGAACTTGGTGTGTGTGTGTGTGTGTGGAGGAGGGTTCTGCCTTCATAATTTTTTCACTCTAAACGTAGAACTCTATTTGACCTATTTGCTTTTGTTTGTTTTTCATGTACTGTTTGTTTGAAATAAAGTGAATTGATACATGTTTATGGTGCTTTAAAAATCCATCTTCTTGCATCTATCTCTAAGAGTGCTGGCTAGACTCTTGTTTCTAACATTTGAAATGAATCAACAGGTGATTATTTTGTACTACTAAAAGAGACCTGAAAGCATAGAAAGAAATACACTAGTAGTGTATTTAAAGTAGTAGTTAAAAACAACATCTGAAGTGAATGCCAGTTCTTCAGAGATCATAGCTTCAGAAGCAGTGTCACTGTAAGCTGAAGGTGGAAGTATAGATCAAGCTTAGCACATATTTAAAAAAAAGAATTATTTGAGAGTTGCCTATAGTAGCAGGAGACTGAAGTCATAAGGATTTTTTTTCCAGACTAGCTTTTCTAAACAGAAATTAAAAAACATTTTTTTTCATGAAAACAGTATTAGGGTAGCACTACATTCTGCATAATTGCTGTTCTCTCTCACATACATGAAACAAAAATAATTGTAGGTAGAAATCCTCATGCCAGGCAAATAATGCATATAAATAAAAATAATATTCCATAAATGCATATAAATATACTATTTTTTATTTATTTCTTCACCTTTATTTTCAAATTGGTAAAGAGCAAGGACCTTGGCTTCTTTTTTATTGTCTAAAGTAAGCTAAAAGAAATATGACAACATGCAAATATGTAAATTCTAGGATATATTTTGAATTAAACCATTACCTTGCAGTAGTCTGCATGTGTCAGTTATGTGTCTCATGTAAATGGTTCCAACATTCAAGAGTTTTGAATTTCTATTGTAATACCTTATCAAAGGCTGCCCTCTGTTATATACTACTTTCACTTTTATATGCGCAGAGCAGTGCTTTAAAATATGAATTTTAAAGAATATCTGACACCACAAATAACTTTCAGTAAATAAAAATATACACACAATCTCATGCATATGCACTCTATGCATATATGTATATATACATAAGCATAAGCAACAATGCAAAGAATAAAATATTTTTATCTTTTGGAATAGTGCAGTTTGCCTTCTGGCTAAACCCTGCATCAGGTGGCTTTTCATTGTGAAAAATAAAATGTGAAAATGTGAAGTTCATCAAGAAATTTGCTAGTAATTTCCATGATATTTTTGACTGCTAAATAAAAATGTAAGAGAGAAAATATGTTCTGTTGAGATTTGTAGTAATTATGCATTCTTATTGTAGCTTGGATTTTCACTATACAATTTCAAATTTTATAGCAAAAATGAGAAAACTAATATGAACAGTATTGGTTGAGCTTTTCAAGGTAGATGAATTTAGATGCATTTATATATATATATGTATTTTTTCTTCTCTCTGTTCACAGTAGACACACACTGGGGGGATTGTTAGTTTCAAGGTGCAAGTGCCACTTACAAACCCTAAAGGGCATTCTGCACACACAGTCATTTTGCAAGTTCAGAAGTTATAAATTAGATTATCATCTTGCAGTATAAAGGTATTAACCCCTCAAGTTGAATTCCAGAATTGAAATCCTAAGCTTTGTGATGGTTGTGGTGATTTTTATTTTTATATTTTCTTTAGGAAAAGTTGCATCCAAGAAACCTTATCCCAGAACTTTGTAGACTGTTTTATGGTTTAGGCTGGGTAACAGGAACAGGTGGAGGAATCAGCTTGAAACATGGGTAAGTAAAGATATAAGAAATTGAATATGGTGGTTATATAGAAAACATAGCTGTGCTTACTAGTTGGTAAAGGCATTTCAGTTCCATGAGGAATATTTGAAAATCAGAAGTAAGTTTGATTACTTACTTTTGAGGGAGAGGGAGAGATGAACAGTACCTTAACAATAGGGAAAAGGAGGTGGCTAATCTGAGTTAACCTTTGGGGTTTCTTCAGTGAGAAAGGGGCAGCTTCAGAAAATGATTTTCCTTTTATTTTTTTAATATCTTTTGAGATAGATTAATGGCCTTCAAGAGAATCATTCATTTTTGCCTGTTCATTCCATTGACTACAGAGTTTAGATGATGAGTTTATACCAGGCACCCAGCTTTCAAGTGCCTGTGGTTAGGTGAGCTGGATAACTCACCCTAGACATTTTGGGGAAATGCTGATTCCTTTAACAAGGGAATTAGTGTTCTACTGTGGGGATGTTTACAGAGGTGTTCATGGCATATAGTTGAAGTAGGATAGGCAACAGCAAAACAATATTTGGTGTGCGCCTACTACTAAAAGCACAGCATTACTCTTCAATCATTGATGCCCCCATTCACAGTTTTGGAGTTTTTAAATGAATGTAGAGCTCCTCTTAGTGGCCACCAAGTACCACAGGTATTTTGTACAGCATATGGAATTCTGTCTGCAGTCAAATAATATTGAAACACTAGCTTGACACTGCTTAATATCACATATTTCTGACAAACTTGCATGCAGACACAAACAAGTATTGCCATTCAAGTGTCCCTTATGAAATACAGGCTTGAAACACTAATCTTTGTGCTTTGCTGAGAGCTTTAGCAGGTCATTTCCCTTATCTGCCTATTTTTTTTGCAAACAAAGCAAGAGCAGTAATAATTAGAAAGTTCTTGTTTTTAAAGTTCTTTGCCTGTGGAATACCTATCTAATGATATTTTTTGATCAATAGCTAAATTTAATTTAGGGCAAAACAAATGTCAACGTTAGTGCAGTTTTCCTCCACAGCTCTGTCACTTGGTTGCTCAGAGTATACTGAAATACATACCTGAGTTGGTACTGATGTATGTTACATGGTGTAGTATAGGAATTTGTGTGGCTGTACTCATTTTTACGTCCAAGTAGCAGATGCGTGTCTTATGTGTGTTTCAAAACAAATAACCATAACTGGACAAGTGGAAACTTCAGAGTTTTTGTATAGGATGTAACTAAAGCACAATTGAAAATTGCTTGAAATTCTAGCATTTTTCAGTAGACTGTTCATATGAACTACTTAAAATAAATACACCAATTTGGATACAGGATAGGATATTAAAAAACAAACCATTATTCTTTCTCAGGTGGTCTATATTTCAAGCTCTGGTTCATAATCAGATTTTCAGATTTGCACATTTAATTCCTAAAAAAATGTTCATAGAAAAATACATCTTTTATCAGTAACCAAATTGCTACTTGATTTCTCAATATACTGCCCTCTAAATCATCTTGCTCGTGCAAAGATAGGAAAACTAAATTAATGAAATGGCAATAACATAATACTCATGAACTAAAAAGTTACGAACATTAAAGCCACATCTTTATGTCCTTTATAACCTTTTTACCTATGTAAAAAGTAGATCACCTTAACAGTTAGAATTTTTGAAAGGTGCCCTCTCGTGCAGAAGTATAAGCATCTCGTTCTCCTTAAAAAATGAATCTGTAACTTGAGTAACTATTCACTAGATGTCTCTCTGCTTCTGAAATTAATTCAGTGTTTTTGCAATTGAATAGTTATTACAGATACAAGGGAAAGTGATCTGATTTTTTTTTTGCTGTTATCCAGAATATTTTACATGCCATCTTAAAATTATTTTTATCTAAATCCTTTTATATTCTTTTTTTTTGTGAACCTTGGAAGAAGCGATGCACTTCTATTTAAATTTCAGTCACTTAATTGCATTGAATTCGTGTAAAATTTTTATCCTTTCAAATATATATATGCATTTAAAAACAATATATAAGCTAGATTGTTCCAATAAAAACACAAATATTGTCATTTTAGAATGCCATAGACTGTTAATACTACTTATGGATAGTTTGTGCAGATTTTTTTAAATAAGAATTTTGCCACTTTTTGGTGGGGACAGATCACTTATCTGCTTGCCTTTTCTTTTTTTCCCCCCACCATTTTTATTCTGAATTCTGTAAGTATGAGTCTGGAATTACTGCACAGAAAAGGGTGTTTTTGTGTGTGTTTTTCTTTATAGAAAAGATAAGGCTGTGCTTCCTACGCATGTTTTAGATCTCTTGGCAAGTCAAAAACACTATTTTGAACCCGTATAAGTTACAGAGATTTAACATACTCTTATGATCTGGTCATATTTTGGAAACCATTTACATGAGGATATGTAGTAGGAACAAGAAAATTAAGTTATCATGGATTGTATTTGCTATTTCCTTTTCAGAGAATCTAGCATTCTAATATCTATGCAGTTAAATGCTGGTTTTATATTTTTTTCCTTTCTGTAATTTTTCTTAGGAATGAAATCTATATCGCTCCCTCAGGAGTGCAGAAGGAAAGAATACAGGTATGTTGAGCTCTATTTTCATGTCAAAGTTTATCCTGAAGTTGATGAAGTTACCTTTATTTACAGTTTTGTTTTTCCTTATGTGAAGTTTGAAATTTGTTATACTGACTGCTTTCTTGAAACAATTACGGATTTACCCACTGTTTAAGTACTCTTCTAGCATAGCAAGGCACTGTTTCAGTGATGTGTATAGATTTGTCTTGATGATTTTTTTGCTTAAAATTAATACAGAAGACAGATTTGAAAGCCATTAGACAGATTTTTTTTTTTTTTTGCTGTCTGGATTCAGTTTCAGCTTGCTGTGACACATATCAAATTATGCATCAACACCTCTCTCCTGTTTATTTTCATTCAAGCAATTGCACAAATATTTCTTTGTCTCGATCTTCTCAGTAAAGAGAAAGTGACCTTGTCTGTATCAGTTCTTTTTCATATAAGAGCAAAGAACCAAGATATAAGTAGAGAGAAGATCGGGAAATTATAGCTTTTATGATAGCAGGAACTCCCCCAGACTAGAATTATTTGTGGAAAGGATTTGTTGTTTCACATCTCAGAGTTAATGCAATGAAAAATGAAATGGATCTCTTTGCTAATAGAAACTTGAGGTTTTGCATAACACTTGCTAGGAGCGTTAGCAAGCTAGACAGGCAAAGGCGTAATATGGCAAGATGTGATATTCTTTTCTTTGCTGGCAGCAGCAGTGGATTGAGTGCAGTGAGCAAGGAGAGCT